CGGCAGGGCAAGTAAATCAAAACCGCCCCCCCCCCCCCCTCCCCCTCCCTCTCTTAGCTCAAAGTCTGGATCCGCCACTGTACACCTATTATTTTTAGTGAAAGGAATTCTCATTCTCATACGTATAATAACGAAGATCATGAACAAGAAAACAATACCGTGAACTGCCGTAACAGCTCCCCCTACACTCCAACTACAGTGGAATCCCGATTTTTCGAACCCTCATGTTTTCAAACCTCCCGATAACTCGAACCAAAAGTCATTTCCCTCTCCTCAGTCGAACGCTGTCATTTTAATTTACCCCCGATTTCTCGAAATATCCTATTTTTCGAACCAATTTTCGTTTCCCTTGAAGGTTCCAAAAATCGGGATTCCACTGTATATAATTATTATGACAAAAAAGAAAGATTCAGCCTAACCTGTTAGTAAAAACCAAAAACAAATTTGATAAAAATGATTCTACTAAAAGAGCAGCACGCCAACTGCCTGCCCTTGGTAATAGAACACTAAGTTGACAAGCAAATAATCAGTTTTCCCTTTGTATTTAGAATCAACCTTCCCGAAACTTTGGTTGGTAGCACAAATGGCCTGAGAATAAAAGTACTTCCGCTAGCATCTCAGCATTCAGTAGGCACATCTTGATATGTAGGCTGCACACTAAGGCGGGGATTCTGAGAGTGACTGGTATCTATTCTGAATTTCTGTATCTAAAGAAAATTCTCAAGCAACCAGTATATTTAACAATTATTCCACGAGCGCGCGTTGGCTATAACCATCTCATATCCAACAAGTGCGAGTGGAATAATTGTTTTATTGAAAACGCCCCCAAAATACAGAAAACTACACTAAAATAAAAGTAAAAACGCCCCGAAAAATTTGTAGAGCATGGTATAATGGCTCATAACCCATGATGGCTAAGCCAATGAAAACTCTAGAATTACATTTACCAATGATCCAGTTTTTAACAAAAGTGTATATTTTATCACCATGCTCTACAAATATGGTAAGCGTACACGTGATTTTAGGGGCGTTTTTATTTTTACTTATTTTAGTTTAATTTTTTTTATATATATATTTTGGGGACGTTTTTAATAAACAATTAATCCACTGGCGCTTGTTAGTTGTGAGATATTTATAGCCAAACAAGGGCGTAGCGCCTTGTTGGCTATCTATCATTTCATATCCAACGCAAGCTCGTGGAATAATTATTAAGTAGTTCTGTGTTTTCTGCTGACCCAGCTAACTGAAAGCTTTGTAAAAATAATAATAAAAAAACATGGCACAGGTGTATTTATTTTCCAATGGAACTTTATTGTTTCGATCAGAAAAAGCGGGCTAAAATGTTGAAATCCTGTATTATGAATCTTCGTTTAAGTATTTGCTGTCTTGAAAATCTTTTTTTACGAACCTAAGAAAAAAAGAAAGTAAGTTTATTAAGACAAATAATACATTTTCATCTAAATAACGAGAGCGATGTACACCAATCTTCAATCCCAAAAGGTATTTCGTTTTACCTTTCTTTTAATTTTTAAACTAGGATATTAGCCAGAGTGGCAGTGAAACGATCAAGTGATAGACGAAATCAAGTGGGGATAGTAAGATAGGCAATGGAGTCTCGCAATCCAAGATGATGTTCTTGAGGCTTACTAGCCTGCAGTGCAGGCGTCTTATTGGGGCGAGTTAGCGTTACAACCTTGCGACCGCCTTTTTAGACCGCCATGTTAGATGGTGGGGGATGGGGGAGGGGAAAAATGAGAAGA